GGAGCCGCTGCAGCCCTCCCCAGGTAGGCTGCCCGCGTGGGGAGCCCCTCGCCTCCGCCTCCCCGGGTCTGGAGTTTTGTTCCTTCCTCTGAGACATGCTTGTCTCCTCTTGGCTGCCTTTCTGTGTGTCTGTGCGTGAGGTAGAGCTGCCGTGTCTGCGGGTCTTGGTCCAGTGGCCTCATGTCGGTGCCCTGGGCACCTGAGTGGGCAGCCAGGTGCCCCTCGTGTGGGTGTGGGTGCCCTCCTGTGGCTCTGGCACATCCGTGGGAGGGTGACCTCGGTGACTGGTGGTGAGGCTGGCGTGACAGCCGTGAGGAGCTGTTGTGCAGGGGCCGAGCCCACAGAGCAGGATGGTGAGCCGGCTGGTGCCTGACGCCTTGGTCGTGAGTGTGTGTGTGGAGGTGGCCGGGTTGTGCTCTGGTCGGAAGCTGGTCACCAGGTGTGTCCGTTCTGAGGTCTCTTGGGAGGTAGAGGCCAAGGCCAGCTGCTGCCCGGCCCTGCCCGGCCCCGGGTGTGAGCTGCAGAGGGGTCTGTGGTCTGCAGGCAGCTGCTCCTCGTGCCGGGCTGGGAGGGGCCTGGGAGCCTGAGCTGCAGCTGCGGCTGCGGCTCTACTGCTGAGCTCGGGCTGCTTAGCAGGACGTCTGGGACATGCCGAGGCCAGAAGCTGGGGTGGAGAGGTTCTAGGAGGGTCTGCAGCGTGAGCACGACAGGCCGTTTGTAGGGAAAAGCCATGAAGCTGTTGCGGGGGACAGGGTCTCAGAATGCCCTGCATGGGGAGGGCTCAGCAAAGCAACAGTGGAAGGAACTGGGAGAGAAAGTGAGAGACACATCCATTGGTTGCCTCCCACACGCACCTGGATCTTTGTTGCAGGTACATGCCCTTGACTGGAATCGAACCCAGATCCTTCAGTCCGCGGTGCTCTGTGCACGGAGCAGACAGGCCAGGGCTTCAGGCGGTGCTCAGCGATGGTCGTTCTGTCGCTGGGTTGTAATCTCGATGTTGTGATGGCCGAAGGCCGTAGGTGCTGGCGTGGGGCGTTGGTGGGGGGAGCTGCAGCCTTGACCTACGCAGCCACCTTGACCGGAAGCCCCATGAGCCCATGTTCAGTCGCCTGGACTCAGGCGAGCATTCCTAGCACAGGGCACGCTCTGCCTCTCCCGGGTCGGAGCTCTGGAGGCCACAGCTTGGCCATTATTGTCCCTCAGCCAGTCGCCTCTAGACCCTTGGCCCCTGATGCCCCGATTGGGCCCGGGGTCAAGGTTTGGGTTGGAGAGCCTGCGAAGCAGCCACGGCTTTAAAGTAACCCCGTGTACCCAGGAGCGCGGTGACGCTGTGCGTCCTGGCCGTCTGTCTGCGCCTCCTCCCTGCAGTCCCCGTGGTGGGAACTTCCAGGACAAGGAAGGAGGCGGAATGGGAAGGGACGAAGCTGGGTCAGGCTGGACGCTTACGCGGCTGTGTCACCAGCTGGGGGCGATGGGTCTGTGCTGCTGTCCTGGGGACTAGGGGTGTCTGAACAGGCGTGGGGCTCCCACAGAGATGCCAAACATGCACCCCTGGAGGCAGTTGGAAATGCCCCTCCCGGCGAGCCCTGGAGCCTCACCCCTGCTTCCTTCATCTCCTCTTTCCCCACGTCCTCGCGCTCCCTAGGGGGCACCTGCCCCGTGGCCTCTGAGCCACAGGCCGGAGCAGGAGGGCTGCATGCGATGCAGGGCTCCCATCCTCCAGGGAGAAAGGTGCCCCAGCTGCCTCTCTGCCCAGGGGCTGTGTCGAGGCAGAGGTCTACGTGACGTGAGAAATGATGCTGGACACGCGGGGGGCCCGGGCCCCTCCGGAGATGGACAGGGCAGCGTGTGCTGCCAGCGGTGACCCAGAGGCAGCGAGGGCCTGGGCTGCAGTCGCATGGTGCCCCCCCCCCCCAGGGGTTCACCTGCAGACTCGAGGGCGTCACAGCAGCAGGGGGAGGGTGCCCGGGGTGGGGTGCCGTGGGGTGCCTGCCGGGGCAGGAGGAGCTGCCTGCCTCTCAGCAGCTGTGGCCACACCCACACCCACGCCCACCAGCTGTGCTGAGCCGAACCATCTCTGGCACAAATCATCTATTGGTCTCGAAGCTTCCCCGTCACTCACACCTTCCAGCCCCTGGTGGGCCTGCCACGTCCTCACCACATCACAGCGCCCTCAGCCCCCCACCCCTGCCCAGCCCGCAGGACTGGCCTGCCCTGTGCCCAGAGCTGCTGGGAAGGGAGGATGGTGTGGCTGGAGGGGGGGCTGGGGATGAGCTACAGGGGAGAGTTCTGGAGGCGAGCTGAGTGGGGAGCTAGAGTGGTTACCTAGAAGGGGAGCTATGTTGCCGCGTTAGAGGGGGACCCAGGGGGCCAGGTACTGGGGCAAAACTAGGGTGTGGAGTGAGATTGTGGAGCAAGTGTGGGGAGCGTGGGCCCAGCTTGGGGGGTGGTGAGATCAATGCTCAAGTTAGAGTGGGGAGTTAGCAGGGCAGTTTAGAGGGGAGGTTCGGAGGGTGAGCTAGAGGGGGGATCTGGGAACAACCAAGAACGAGCTGGGGGCGGGGGCGGGGGCGGGCCAATTTGGGGAGCTAGGGGGCCCACCTGGTGGCTGACCGGAGTGGGGAGCTGGAACGGAGAACCACTGAGACTCTAGAGTAGGGAGACGGAGGGGGAACCGAAGTGGGAAGGCAGAGGGGAGTTTTGAGGGCAGCCAGGGGGGTGAGCTAGAGGGGTAAGGAAAGGGGGTCTCAGGGTGAGGGGGCAAGCTAGAGCGGGGTGCTAGTGAGGGGATCTATGGGCAGAGCTAGAGAGGTGAGTTAGAGTGGGGAGCTGAAGGGATGGCCTCTGGTAGGAGCTAAACCAGAGTAACTGGAGGGGGAGCTGAAGGGTGACCTAGAGAGGTGATATTGGGGGGCAGGCTAAACGGGAGCTAGGGAGCGAGGTAGATGGGGAAATGGGAAACTGAGCTAGTGCGTTTAGCTAAGTGGGGTGCTAGGGTGGGGAGGGGGGTGAGCTGGGGCAGCAGCTAGAGTAGCAGCCAGGGGCATGCGTAACTGGGGAGCTAGGAAGACGAGCTGGGGGCTCTTTAAGGCTGGGAGCTGGGTGGGGAGCCGGGGTGAGGTGGGGGAGTCAGTGGAACTAAGGGGTTGAGTTACGGGGGCTGAACTAGAGTGGGTAGTTCGAGTGTGGAACTGGGAGGTTGATCTAGAAGGCTGTGCTGGTGTGGGAGCTAGAAGTAAAGGGGGGACCAAGTCAGAAGAGAGAGTGGGGTGATGGACAGACGAGAGGGTGAGCTAGAGGGTCCAGCTAGAGGGGTGCTATGGGGGCAGAATAAGGTGTCAGTAACGGGTGGGAGCTAGAGTCTGGATCTAGGGGTCAAGCTAGAGTGAGGGGCTAGAGAGCAAGTTAGGGGGTCAGTCCACAATGAGTTATAAGGGTAAGTTAGAGGGGCAAGTGGGGGGCGCGAGCTAGAGTGGGAGCTAGAATTGAGATAAAGTAGGAACAAGGGAGATGGGTTATGGGTTGGGCCAGAGTGGGGAGCTAGGGGGCAAACGGGGGTGAGCTAGTGTGGCAGCCTGAGTAGGCAGCTAGGTAGGAAAACATGGGGTGTGCTAGGGCGGCCAGCTGGAGGGGGAGCTAGGGGCAGAACTAGGCAGATGGTCTGGAGGGATGAGAGCTGGAGTGGGGTGAGCTAGAGTGAGGAGCTCCATGAGGAGGCAGAGCAGGGGGACAGGGAAGCGAGCTGGGGGGCCAAGAGATGGGTGCAAGCTGGTGCTGAGCTAGCCGGGCACAGCAGAGGGGCAGCCAGAGTGGGGGGACAGGGAGGTATGGGGCAGGCTAGGAGGTAGCTAAAAGGGGGAGGTGAGGGGTGAGCTAGTGGGGAGTTAGAGGGGCCAGTATAGAATGAGGAACTGGGGGGCAAGCTAGAGTGGGGGTGAGCTAAAGTAGGGAGCTGAAGGCGGGAACTAGGGGGGAGGAGGGTGGGGAGCTAGAGGGGTGAGCTGGAATAAGGAACGAGGGGGGAGATCTAGAGAGGTAGCCAGATGGTCCAGCTAGGGGTCAAGCTAGAGTGGGGTTCTAGTGTGGGGACTTACAGGGGGAGCTAGCAGGACTAGCTAGAGGGGGGGCAGAGTGGGGTGCTAGGGAGATCAAGAGGGGTATCCTCATGGCAGCTAGGGGTCAAGCTAGAGTGGGGTTCTAGTGTGGGGACTTACAGGGGGAGCTAGCAGGCGGGGCAGAGTGGGGTGCTAGGGAGATCAAGGGGGGTATCCGCATGGGTGAGCAAGGGGGGTGAGCTAGAGTGGGCAGCTAGGAGGGCAAATTACAGGTGGCGATAGAGGGGCAGCGAGGTGTTTGAGCTATGGGGGTGAGTGGGGAGCTGGTTGAGCTGCGGGGATAGCTGGAGTGGCTGTCTAGGGGGTGAACTAGATTGGTGAGCTATAGTGGGGGGGCTAGGGAGTGAGCCACAGGAGCAAGCTAGTGTGTGCAATCGGGGTCACAGCTAGAGCAGTGAGCTGGAGGGGTGAGCTAGATTGTGGAGCTGGTAAGTTCCTGTGGGGAGCTCAGTGGGGAGGTGGGTGGCTGAGCTAGAGTGGCAGCAAGAGGATGCCCAATGGGAGGGTACGAGGGTGGTGCGGTACATGGGGAGCAAGTGGGGTGAGGTAACTTGGAGGGGTGAGCTAGAGTGGGCAGTTAGGGTTCATGCTGTGGGCTAGGGCTAGAGGGGTGAGCTGGAGCAGTTTGCTGTAGTTGGATCTGGGGCTGTGATCCAGAGTGGGGAGCAAGACTGGGGAGCTAGTGGTGTGAACTAGAGGAGCTACAGCGAGGAGGTGGAGTGGGGAGCTGGCAGGGAGCTAGAGTGTGGGGTGATCTAGAGTGGGCATTGAGGGGGGTGAGTGAGGACTAAACCAGTGGGGAAATGGGAAACTGAAGGGGTGCAAGGGGCTAGAGTGGGCAGTTAGGGTGTGAGCTTGACTGGGATCTAGGGGGTGATTTAGAGTGAGGAGCTAGAGTGGGGAGAGAGATTGGGGACCTAGGGGTCAGGCTAGGGGTGAACCTGAGTGGGGAACCAAGTTACAAGCTAGTCGGGAGCTGGTCTAGACAGCTAGCAGGTGGTAGAGTGGGGAACAAATATGGGGATCTTGGGAGCTGAACTAGATGGAGCTAAAGTGGGGAGCTAGTGAGGTGAGTTAGGGGTTTTTAACTAGAGTGGGGAGTTATGGCCCCAGCTTGATTGGGAAGTCAGAGGGGCACCCCAGAGGGGGAGCTAGTAGAGTGAGCTGGGTGCCAGGTGGGCAGCTGGTGTGGGGAGCTCGAGGGCATGGGGTGAGCTATGCTGGGCCGCTATGGGGGCTGGCTGGAGGAGTGAATTAAGGGGTGAGGTAGAGTGGGGTGGGGGGGACAGTTATAGTTGAGAAATAGAGGGGGAGCGCTAGAGTGGATCTAGGGGTGAGCTAGTCGGGCGAGCTAGGGGGTTGAGCCAGGGGGGGCAGCATGAGTGGGATGCTAGGGTTCCAGCCAGTGGGGACCTAGGTTAGTGAGCTGGAGGGGGTTACGGGTTGAGCTATTTAGTGGGGTGAGCGCGTGTCCAGCGCTAGGGGCCTAGCTTACTCCTCTCCCCTCCTCTCTTCCTGTTTCTCTGCTACCTCTCATCCCCCCCCCCCCCCCCTTCCCTGCTCCCCTCCCACCTCTCACGTGCGTTAAAACGTGGCTCAGTGGTTGAGCATCGACTGATGAACCAGATCACAGTTCGAGTCCCCGTCAGGGCACAGGCCCGGGTTGTGGGCTCAAAGTAGAGGAGTTCAAGGGGGTGACCCAGGGTGGGGCCTTAGAGGGTGACCCAGGGTGACGTGTGTTGGGGGGGAGCCTAGAATGGGGAACCGTAGTGGGGATGTAGCATGATGAGCTGTAGGGGACTAGGTGTTAGGGGCCAATCTAGGGGGATGAGCCAGAGTGGGGAGCTGGAGGGAGACAGGGTGGCAGCTCTTGGTGAGTTGAAGTAGGTGCTAGGGGGCGAGCTGTGAGTGAGGAAAGCTGAGTGGGGGGCTAGGGCGGCGATCTAGAGGGTAATGTCCCCGTCCTCCCCTTTGCCCCACATGACCTGTGCTTGGAGATCCTGTGTTGTGTCCGTGTTGCTGTGTGCATGTGCACATACGTGTGCATTGGTTCTGGAACTCTCTTGACGGTACTATCACCGTCCACTCCCAGCGCTGGTGGGGCTCAGCCCTGCCTCGTGTGGACCCACAGGTCTATAGAGGCGACGTCACAGCACCCCTCCTGTTTCGCAGACAGCGGCGTCCCGGACCCGGCCGTGTGTGTGGTCACCACGGCTGCCATAGACATCCACCGGCCCAACGTCTCCTCGGACCTCTTCTCGGTGGACGTGCCCCTGAAGCCCAGCAGCAAGGGCGCCTGGGTGAGCTCCGCCTCCGCCTCTGCCTCCGAGAGCGCGTCCTGCTCCACTGGCAGCTCCGTCACCGGGGCCCAGAGCGACAGCAGCCAGACCCT